GCACACTAAACAGTTCAGCACAATGCGGTGCTGGCTTTCAAGATGTTGGAGGAGTATGTATGGGTGAGTTAGTTGACATCTTGTAGTTTTGTCTTTATCTCTCTTTCTCCTTTCACTGTTTTTATACTCTTTCATCCTAGTTAACTGTAATGTTATTAAGTACTAAATTACAATGCATGCCAGCAGTTGTAGTAATTTTTAATTTAAAAATTCTGCTGCATCTCAGTAATGCATCATGTACAAGTTAAAGGTTCATCAATTAATAAAAAGAAAGTTTTTTGGTAATTTCAATGAAGTATGATAATCTTTGCATTGTTTACTAGCTAATATTAATTTAAAATGTTGATATGAATCCGATTATCAATTGGAACAACACATGAATGATGTTAAAAGTATTTGCATTGCATCTCCCATGAAGACCAATAGAACACACACACTCATGCTGCATGATGTAGCAAAATATACACCTCAACATGCAGTACCACCAAGTTCTCTTCATGCACTCCTAAATATCTTTAGATATTGATGAATGCACTGAAAACAATGTGCCAATCTGTGGCAGTCATATGTGCTCCAATACTAATGGTTCCTATGAGTGTATCTGCAATTCTGGCTATGAAGTAGCTGATGATAATCAGACTTGCATTGGTAAGTATCAGATGGTAATTACAATTATAATAGTTACGTATAAAAGATTCAGTATCAAAATCTGCTGAATGACACATCGTGCTTATTACTCTTCTTCTATTTTCCTAGATATTGATGAATGCAGTTCCAACTCATCACTATGTGGTGGGAATACATGTATCAACACTGCTGGATCATATCAGTGTAGCTGTAGACCAGGATGCGTGAATGATCAAAATGATCCTCAAATATGCATTGGTAAATTAGCTTGTAATATTTTTGTCCCAACCTTATTTTTATTTCTTCATATATTACAGATATTGATGAATGTGCTGATAATTATTGCAATCAGAATTGTGTTAATCTTGATTGCTCAAGTGGCAGGTATGAGTGTTTATGTAATGCTGGCTATCAACTAGCTCCTGATAATCATACTTGTATTGGTAAGTATTAATATTAATAATTCCTTTAAAAACTCTCTATTTTCCTAGATGTTGATGAATGCAGTTCCAACTCATCACTATGTGGTGGGCATACATGTATCAACACTGCTGGATCATATCAGTGTAGCTGTAGATTAGGATGCA